TTTGTGTGTGTGTGTGTGTGTGTGTGTGTGTGTGTGTGTGTGTGCATGCATGCACCCTGGACACCACAGTTCTGCTGGGTTGTGTGTGTGTGTGTATGTCCTGATCCAGGCAGTGTGTGTGTGTGTCCTGGACACCTGGGTTCTGTTTGTGTGTGTGTGTGTGCATGCGTGCACCCTGGACACCACGGTTCTGCTGGGTTGTGTGTGTGTCCTGATCCAGGCAGTGTGTGTGTGTGTGTGTGTGTGTGTGTGTGTGTGTGTGTGTCCTGGACACCTGGGTTCTGTGTGTGTGTGTGTGTGCGCGCGCATGCATGCACCCTGGACACCTGGGTTCTGCTGGGTTGTGTGTGTGTGTGTGTTGTGGACATCTGGGTTCTGTTCGTGTGTCTGCGTGTGTGCACACGTGCACCCTGGACACCTGGGTTCTGTGTGTGTGTGTTTGTGCGTGCACACACCCTGGACACCTGGGTTCTGCTGGGTTGTGTGCATGTCTGTCCTGATCCAGGTAGTGTGTGTGTGTGTGTGTGTGTGTGTGTGTGTGTGTGTGTGTGTGTGTGTGTGTGTGTGTGTGTGTGTGTGTGTGTGTGTGTGTGTGTGTGCGCGCACACCATGGACACCTGGGTTCTGCTGGGTTGTGTGCGTGTCCGTCCTGATCCAGGCAGCGTGTGCGCGTGTGCCCTGGACCCCTGCGTGCTGTGGGCGTGGGCGTGTGTGTTGTGAGCAGTGTGACTTTCACAAAGGGCTGCGAGTGCCAAGCCTGGGGGCAGGTAGCAGTTGTGGATCCTCCTCCTCTCTCTGCTCCTCTGTCCCCATGGTTAACTCCTGGCCCTGCTCCTCTCAGTCTTTTGTGTGCGGGCTGTTGCTTTGCTCTCTCTCTCTCTTGCCAAGTGCCTAAGGGGAAGGAAGGGGGGATCATTATTTTTGCTCCCCCCACGCCCCACCCCAGCAGCTGCTTGGACCCAGACCCCCCAGCCAGGGGACAGCTCTGGAGGAAGGGGGCAAAGGCCAGCATTGAGGGTCGGGAGTGGGGATCATCTTCCTCTTCTACACAGGTTTCTTTTTTATTTTTTGGTTTGCAAAAAAACCCCTAAGAGCCCTCCCTGCAGAAAAGAGCCTCTTTCCACCTCATCTTGGCTTGGACCGGCTGCTTTTTGCCGCCTGGCTTGCTGCACCCCCGCAATATCGGAAGTGTTACACGTTCATCTGCGCGTGTCCCCCGCAACTTCCTCACCTCTCCCCCAAAATACAAAACCAGGGGTGCAAGCAGAAGATGAATGCTAAAGACCCGGGGAGCAAACAGCACTCAGCGCCGGAGCCTCTGCCTGCGATGAACAGATGCCTGCCGGTTTCCTACCCCTCTCTCTTTCATTAGAGGAGACAAATCTGCTGTCAAGTCGCCAGATTTCCAATTTACCGATAATGATTCTTGCATGAAAATTGATCGAGGGGGGCTTTCTGGTGCTCGGCGCTCCCGGCCGCCGCCGTGGGGAGGTTTGGGTTTCTCGCGGCCTCCGGGACGCGGAGAAGCACCGGCCGCCAGCGCCGAGGAGGACGCATTGGGATGCTCCGGTCTCTGGACACCTTCCCCTGCTCCACGTCTCGGGAGGCTTCGTTCCCCCCCCCTTTCCCTTTCCCTTTTGTGAACCGGTAGCTAAGGGGGGAAGAAAACAAAGCCGGCTTCTCCTTGGCAACCGGAGAGATCCCCCCAGCCAGCCTCCCCCTCTCTGCCTTCCCTCCACCCCCCTTCGCGCTTCTGAACATGAAGCCCGGTTGGAAACAAATCCGATGCCCCCCCCTGCCCTTGACATTCAAATGACTGAATGGAGAAAAGATTGCTCTTTGCATGCTTTGAGGGCTTTTATTATTATTGTTATTTTGATTTTGATTATTTTTGCTTTCCTCCTTCCCCTCTTCTTCGGCTCTCTCCAAATGAGTAATCCCTAGCGGAGAGCATCCAGCCCAGGAGCTCCTCGCTGCCCCTCTCACCTCCTCCTCCTCCTCCTTGCTCTTCAGTTCCTCTCTCTCTCTCTTTTTGTGCGTGTGCAATTTGCATCTCTGGTCTAAAAAGGCAGGAAAAACACGGGAAGGCTTCGAGACATGGCAGCTGCTTAAAGGGGTGCTGTTGTGTTGTGACTCAATTACCTCCGTGCGCATCTGCAGGTGACAGCCCGCCGCTGGGACTGACAAGAGACCTTGCCCCCTTCTCCTCTGCCGCTCTCCAGGATTAAGGGGCTTGGGTTTTTTTTTTTTTGTCGTCTTTTCTTTTTTCTTTTTTCTTTTCTTCTTTTTTTTTTTTTAGCCGTCAGCATTTTCCGCCCCGTCTGCCTCCTGGTTTCTTTTTGCAACCCCTCTGATTGCCGCTGATCTTTTTGTAGTATTATTATTTTGCCCTCACCATCCCGTTCACCCTTTTTTTGGTTTTTTCTGCTCACCATGGACCTGTAACACAAATCATGTTTGGACTGAAGCCACCTCTCTATTACTTACCAGGTAAGGAGATGGATGAGGGGTTTGACTCTTTTCCCCCCACCCCTTCCTCGCCCCCATGGTCCCCTTTTCTTTGTGGTGCTGGGACAGCTCCCCCCTGGACCCTGCCGGGTTGTGCGGGCGTAAATCAGGAATAGCCACAGGGGTGTAGGAGGGGGAAAGATGTGCCGTGCACTTCCCCCCTCCTTCCCTTCACCCTCGCCTCCCCTTTGAGATCCAAGTGCAACGTGAGCCCTGCAGCTTTCACCCAGCCCTGGGGTGGATAGCATATCTCGCTCCTTTTGTCTGCCCTGCTCGGCTTCCTAAGTGGCGAGCCTTGTTTTATTTAACAGCAAACGGCAAAGGCACTTAAGTAATCTAAGGTGAATTAAGAAGCGTGGTGTGAAGTTACTTTCTAGTGGTGCCTAATATTGTTTCATGGCTCAGCAAGCTCTGATCATGTAGCAGACAGCCCCAAAGTGGCGACTCTGAGTCGCTTCGCTTCTGGTTCCCCCCCCCGCTTCTCTTTCTCCCTCCAACAGCTTTTTTTCCTTTTCCACCCGCAAGTCTCTGAGGTTTTTCCCTCTTCCCCCCCCACGTCCCCGCGCCGTGTCGGGGCTGTGACATGTGCCTGGCTGACAGCCGCCTTGCTAACCCCTGTATTTATCGTGGCTAAGGGTGGGGAGCAGAGGTAAGCGAGGCATATGTATATATGTATGTCTGGGAGAGTCTGTTCTCCGCTGCGGCGTGTGCTCTCGGGTCACCTTTCATCAGCCGAGCAACAGTTTGTGCGAGGATGGGGGGGGGACGATTTGCTGGGTGCATTGGCGTGCATACAGCTGAGGCCGAACCTCAAGCGAGGACCACTTATTGCTCCCGCCCCGGCTCCCTGCATTGGCCTTTCAGCCCCTTTTGGGCAGGCCGCAGAGGCGCCGGGGACTGGGGGAGGTCGGCAGGCTCCTCCAGCCTTTGCTTTCCACGCTGCACCCTGCGTGCGGTTTGGAGG